TATAAAAAAATATTATTGAAAAATGTATAAAAAACTATAAAAAAAAAGACACGAAAACAATTATATTGCTTTGGTTGTATGGCATATTTATTTCGTGAAGCAATTTTCTTTTGTACGCATTTATATTTAGTAACTCATGTATACAAATACTCTTCACACGAAAGCAACATAAGCGCCAAAAATAGTATTTTTTGCTCAAATCAAATCTTAAGACTTAATTCTTATAATATTGGTTATATAAGATCCTAAATAAACTTTATTTCGAGTTGCACTGAAAATCGCCAATCCACATTTAAGTAAACTATAAAAAAAATCCTTCTTTAAAATTTCATTTTTGGCACTGACGTCATTTTTGCGAGAATAGCCGTATATATACTTATATGTATGTACGTATGTATAGATACACGAAAATATTATAGTACATACATATAATACAAAAGGAATTACATATAAGAATACATATATTTTCTTAAAAATATATTGGGAACTGTGCTTTCGCCTTAATTTTCCTCGATGATGTCAAGCAAAATTGACTCCTCTATATCATTTACATTATCAGAGTCCTCCTATTAAAAAACAAATATATAAATAAATACAAAACTTTGTAGTAGTCAGCATCAGTTACTTACATCAAAACCGAAACATTCATCCACATCTAGTTTGGATGGCGCATCAGCTTTCTCATCTAAAAGCAAAAATATATAAACATATATTGTAGGCGTTTTAGCATGAAATAATATTACCTGCAATGTTGTCTAAATTCGTTAAAATAACACATTCACCGTCATCGTCATCCAATTCATCGTCAGTTTCTAGAACTTTCACCACCATATAGCTAGGCAAATCACTCACATCATCCTCTGCGCTGTTTTCATCCCCATTTCCTGTGGTTTCTACGTTAATTTCTATATTTTTACCCTTCCCTTTGCTTTTGGATATTGCTGTCGGTGCTGTACTTTTGTTCGATACGTGCGTCTTACTAGTGGTCGGTTCAACCGTTTCTATAGTGAAATCGTTTTCACTCTTTTCTACCTCTTCTATAACACCAAATATTTCGAAATTTTCATCGTTAGTCGCTTCGTCGTCATTCTCCTCCGACACATATGGATCTACTATATCGAATAAATTATCATCGCTGAGTTTGACAATTCTGTCGGTTTTCGATTCTTTATCCGCCGCGTCATGTAATTTCATGTGTCGCACCAAATTGCCCTTGTGCGCAAATGCTCTATTACAATATGGGCAATTATGTGTCTTTTTGAGCTTTGGTGGCGGTGTATAATTTTCATTATGATAAAGATTTGTATGACGACTGAGTAATTGTCTCTGTCGGAATGTTTGTCCGCATTCATCACATCCAAATGGCTTGACATCGCTGTGTATTTGCTTGTGCATCTCCAGATTACGCATGGAAATCGATTTGTAATTACACTGATCGCAACTGTTTAGTATGAATAATTAATTGTTATTGATTTTCTTTATTTTCTTTATAAATTGCGTTTGCTTACCTGTAACAGCGTTCGCCTTCGTGCGTTTTTATATGCATCTTATAGCTATAACGATCGGGCAATTCTTTGCCGCATCTGGTGCATGGTATGGGATGATCCGAATAATGCAGCTTTTGAACGTGTATCCGCAGATCTGATTTGCGGCTGCAAGTCGTTGGACATAGTGCACATTGAAAGACTGGTTTATCATCCACACTGTGTATGAGTTTGTGCGATTTCAAGGAGTTTGATTGCGTAAAGCGTGATTTACAAATATCACATTCATATGGTTTTTCACCTGTGTGTGTGCGCAAGTGTCGCTTCAATTTAAAGCTATCCGGTGAAGCGTAAGTGCAATGTGGACACTGATATGGACGTTCTCCTGTGTGGGCGCGCATGTGCCGCTGCAGCTTACTCATCTCAACCGTTGCGTAGTCGCATTCGGTGCACTTGTGACGTTTCTCATGCGTGTGTTTATAGCGTACATGCCTTGCCAAATCGCCGGGTGTCGTGAAACGACTTTCACATGACAAACAAGCATGTGGCCTCTTGCCCAGATGCACATTAATATGATTTTGTAATGTATGGTTCGTCTTGAAGCCCCGATCGCATACAGAACAAATAAATGGACGATCGTCTGAATGCCGCTTCATGTGTCGTGATAACAAAAATCGTTTATCGAATTTATTATCACAATGTGGACATGAGTATTGGACTGAACCACCAGCGGAGGAATCTTTATTTTTTACCGGGAACACTTTTAATAGCGACAACTGCCCACCTTCTTCCTCTTGAGAACCACTTTGCTCTTCCAATTCATCGAATTCATAGATTTCATCAATCGCAGCAGGATCATCAACAGTTTGCTCGTTTTCTGCTTTAATATTCTCAGACGGAATATAAACCATATATTTTTCTTCAATAGTACACTTGGCATTGCTGACGGTCGTACTGCTTTTAACAGCTAAAAAAAAAACAATTTTGTGCAATTAACATTACGAAAATCTCTTGTTGAAAATGCACTTACCCTTTCGCTTGGTTTGCATTCCTAGTAAAGGCTTTGCTTTTCTTTTGGTGCTGCTCGGCACATTATCCGACTTGCTTGACGTTAATGTTAAAAACAAATTTCCGCCCTCATCCAGGTAGTATTGTTTGTCTACACCTTCTTTATTATCTCCATCTTGAGATAATCTTACTGAATCCTCATCCTCCTCATCACCACCTAACCCATCAGCTAAGCAAAGCGTTACTTCTTCAATTTCTTTATTTATTGAGTGTATGATGGTGTCCAAATCTTGTCCATCTGAATCTTCATCTATTGTTGCAGACATCCTGCAATTTTTATTGACGATCTTGTATGTTTTCAAAAACTTTCTTCACAGAGGTCGCCCGGAGTTTGGCGCGATATTAAGTATTTTTATAGACTTTGAGCCGACTTTTAAGGCGACACACAGCGGTCAGCAGCAAAGATCTTTAGAACGACGCTCGCCTTCGGTTAGTCAGTCAGGATGACTGCCTTTTATTGATTTCTATAGAGATAACGATGTGTAATTAAATGCTACCAGTTATTAGCCACATTAAAATCAATATCCGATTGAATACAGTTTACACAAATTTTAATGAAGATGAAAAATAGATCTTATATTTTTGCCGTCAGAGGAAAAATGAGTGTTCACTTCATTTTGACAGCTGTAGTTAAATTTCAATAAAAGATGGCGTACGAAGGCTACATGGTTGCACGCGGAGACATTTAAATTTCAGATTTTATTTAAGTACAATTTTGATCCTTCTGTACTTGTTAACATTTATCTATTTTTTTAATATTTATTATTTTAATAGTAATTTTTGGTAAAGCTTTCAAAATGAAATATACTTTGCAATATTTTATTAAATTTTATAAATGTAGCTCATATCACTATTACAATCAGTAATTATTTGTAATAGAAACTTTTGAGAGAACAACATTGACAACCCTGACTGTCAAAGTACCTGTGCATGGCTGTGTATGAAAAACAATAGCAGCCGCATTCCGAATTTTTTTTTGCAACACCCGGCCGTTTTCCGTTTTTCCCGCGCGTGCAGACTTAACGTTGAAATTTAGAAATACCCAAATTGTAGTCTGCCGAGATCGCCGCAAGAAGTTGTTTCTAGTTTTAAAATATTTGCTTGATACAAAATACCAATACACTACTCCGATATATCAAATAACCATTTAACAAAATTATTTGATTCATTGCGGTGTCAACTTCAACTTTTTTTTTTCATTACTAAGGGCCAAAATTTGTAAGTTAGAATGTGTTATACATGCTGTATTATCTTCAAATGGGATTTTTTGATCGTGCTTAACCTTTAAAGTGTTTAACTTTATTTCAGTAAAACTGCAAAGCCACACACTTAATAGCAGCGAAAGAAATAAATTACCCATAAAAATGCCGCGAATCGCAGTACGTCGGAAGGCCTCCACACCAATTGGCAACAATAACAATGAAGAATTAGATGCTCCAAAACGTAAACTACAGCGTACCGCTTACCAATTGCCATTACCTGAGAGATCACACGTGGTGGGACGTGCTTTGGTATGTGGACAAGGAGATATGGGCCAGTTAGGTCTAGGCGATGATGAGTCAAAATTCGAGCGCAAAAGACCGGCTTTGGTAGATTCTATAGAAAATGTCGTTGATGTCAGAGCTGGTGGCATGCATAATCTTGTATTGACACTCGAGGGGACAGTTTACTCTTTCGGCTGTAATGACGAAGGTGCATTGGGTCGTGATAGCAGTGAAGATGGTTCAGAATTTGAACCGCATCCAGTTGAATTACCAGGAAAAGTGCTAAAAATATCAACGGGTGATTCACATTCGGCCAGCTTGTTGGAAGATGGTCGTGTTTTTGCATGGGGTTCGTTCCGCGATTCGCATGGAAATATGGGTCTGACATTAGAAGGAAATAAAAGACTTCCAATCAATGTTTTACCTGACATGGTATGTTGCGACATTGCTTCCGGAGCAGATCACTTAGTTATACTTACATGCAGCGGGAAAGTATTCACCGTAGGCTGTGCTGAACAAGGTCAATTAGGCCGTGTGTCTTTGCGGTCGGCGACTGGAGAAAGTAAGTATTCGTAATGGGCTGCCATTATGTATCAATTATAAATTCGTTATTGACATAAAATTAAATATCTTATAGGCCGTCGTGGCAAAACAGAGCTGCTGCGCCCAGGTGAGGTGGTAATCAAACGTGGTAAGCCCGTCGAAGCTATTTGGGCCACGAATTACTGTACATTTTTGCGCGAGTCACAAACGGGTAAAATTTGGGCTTTCGGTCTGAACAATTACAAGCAGTTGGCCTATGCCAAAGATCTTGCAACAATTATAAATCCAGTAGATACGAAATTCGAGAACGTTAAACAAATCGCCGGTGGACAACATCACACATTAATACTTAAAAATGATGGTTCTTGCTATTCTATTGGACGCAGTGACTACGGTCGTCTTGGACTGGGAACCTTAAAAGGTGATATCACAGAACTGCAATCAATCAAAGGATTGTCCGATAAGTTTGTAGTTTGTGTGTCATGTGGTGAAGCCCAATCATTTGCGCTAACCGATGATGGTAAACTGTATTCATGGGGCATGGGCTCGAATTACCAATTGGGTACGGGATCGGATGATGACGCATTTGAGCCTGTACAAATCATTAGCAAACAAACTGAAGGCAAACGAATAGTACGTGTTTCCAGTGGAGGTCAACACAGTATTTTTCTGGTTGAAAGCGAGGTACAGCCAACAACAGATTCTAACGCAGATGTTAAAACAAATGGCGACAGTAAAATGGAGGAAACTAACGTAACCGAAAGTAAAAAGGAGGTGGAGCAAAAGGAGACTGCCGAAAACAATGAAACTGGGAAAGGTGCTGCAAAGCGTGGTCGTAAAAAGAAATAAGAAACTATTTAAAAAGACTCCCAAGAATGCAAATCTTTTTATAAGTAATTTGTTTCTTGTATATTTTTTGTTTAATTATTAATATTCCGTCTGTTGACTGTTAATAAAATAGAACGTAAATTAATTAGTTATTGACTAGAGCGCACATACACTTACGTACTGGTGTGCCTCTACATTATTGTTTTTTAAATCGGTATATAAATTGATTGATTCTCTTACAATTATGCAATTGAACATAATATATTTCGAAGAACAATATACACTTTTTGTACTACATGTACATCATCTCATATGTAAGTTCATTTGGGATTCTTAATAAAGCATGAATAAAAAAAAATTAGTAATTAGTATATTTATTTCTCATTATTTGTAAAGATTGCATTTATTTTAGCTTATTTTTTTGATTTACTCTTCATTTGGCTTCTCGTTGTTGTCGTTTGTCTCTGCAGCTGGAGAATTTCGCAAAATAAACCCCCTAAAAACATATGTATATGTGTGTACATTGTACATATGTTATAAACCATAGTGGTGTGACAAGTTCGATTTTATGCAAAATGTTCATTTATATGTATGTATGTATTTATAAAATTTTGTATATATTGGCATTTTGTATGTACAACGTTTTGTATAGTTATTAAATAGTCAATAATATGAGTAATTCCAGCAGTTAGTATGTGTATATATTATATATATGAACGTGTGTATATAAAATTAGCTACCGGTATTTTGGATTTTCTATAATTAGATTTAAATAGCAATCCTTTGCGTTGTTTGGAAGGGTGAACGCATGTTAGTACACCTTAAACATGAAACTAAGTTATACATCGTCTATCGTCTGGCGACATAAAATAATCTAAAGAATTTTACAAATTTTAATATTATTATTTAATTTAAAATATTTGTGCATGATTTCGCTCCACTTTATATTGAAATGCAAAAGACCTACCCCTCGATGACTTTTGTGTTTGTAGCACAATACTAAATACATATATATGTATGTAATGTTTACATACGTATGTATGTCAGTTTTGCACACATTTTGACGGCATTTATAAAATCTTTCCACGTACCACACCTAACATACATAGACATTTTTATATTGTCCCGTTAATTATTTAAGTTAGTGCATTATATAGAAATATATATTCAAAATGGTTGTGAGCTCGTTTCATTATTACATCAATTTGTTGGCCAACTTCTGTGTGCTTGCGGCGCATGTGTTCTCATATGTACCGCAATGGTTGTTGCTGGAGGTGTCATTGGTGGCGCTAAAGCGGTAATTGTTGTCCTCGACTCGGAGCAGCAATAGAACGAGATGAATATAATACAGAAGAGCATCGAAATTGTAATTATGATACGCGCAAATTTACGTGCAAATGCGATTAGACCAAGCAGGTAGCCACCACCAGCCACACCGCCCTTATCAAAAGCAGCTTCGTCATAATCCATGGCATCGCCATCGATGACAAAATCACCGCAGTCAATGTCGCCATCAGCTGCTGTATTGCAGTCACAAGCAGTTGTATGCTCGCCACTACTACCTTCATGACCTCGTCTACGTAGCTTCTCCGCGGCAGTGGGTACCAGTAGGTGCTGCTTGGTCAAATTGCATTTTGAAAGTAAATATTATAGATTTCGGCTTGGACAATTGGGTGAAACACTGCATTCCTCATCACCGACGCAGCCGGGCAGGTAATTTAGTTGTGTCTTCAGTAGATAAACAACCGCGACACAAAGTCCCAGTAAAAATACGAGCGTAATACATTGTAGAATTTGTGTAAATCTCAATTGACTCTCCAGGTGTTTAGCTTGTGTTGACAGCTGTTGAGAAAATTTAGATGCATGGCATTAGTATATATATATGTATATATGTAAAATGCAGAAGTAATCTTATACTCTACTCACATCCGAAGTGTTGGTACTCTTCGTGGAAGAAAAACCCTCATCCGGACCACCGTTGAACATGGTAGTTTTACCACAGGCGCAAGTACCCGGTGTACTTGCTGCACTTGCACTGCTTCTATAATTGCAGGTTAAGCGATGTTGCTCCACATCATTGCCATTTTGAGGTTTCATTTTCCAAGCTTCACTCATACTTTGCTGCGACGGCTCTATACCCAAGGGTGCTGGCATACACATCACGAGAAATTTATCTTTCGGCGACTCACCCAAATGATAGTCCTGCTTTAACATAAGGTTCACCGAAACCGTCTCAGACGGCGCTAAATAACCACAACGTGGACGAACTCGAAATTTTTCTGGCGAAGTTGTTTGAATCTGCATGTACATAGGTGTGTATATAATTAAGGACGGTTGATTCGTCAATGGACAGGAAACTTACCTTATAAGTTATAGCCTGTTTTCCGATGCATGTGAGTTCTATTATGCTCTCGCTATTTTCGCCCCGATTGAAGTATATATTATCGTTTGGTGAAATTCGCAGCATTGTGCCTAAACGTTAAGAATTTTTGTTGAATTTTAATAAATGAAGAAATTCTAAATTGTATGTTCAATTTTGACAAATTTTATGTATATTTTTTGATTATTTGAAGTTACAGGCAATGACCTATTAATCAAATTTAAGTCTAATATTCGCTGTAAAAATAATACCTTAACTATTTTATGGAATTGCATAAGCATTTAATATAAATAAATATCAATATAAGTCAGTAGAATTTGTATTTTTTGTTTTGAATTTAATGGGTTACATATATACTAAAAATATATATAATATTTATTATGTACATACATTTGAATACACTTACTCATTGGGTCCAAGGTTTGATAGCCTCGCTCACACTCCGGCATTTCAGATCCCGCGTACATCCGGTGGTTGTTGGCAAAGTGTACCTAATAAAAACAATTTTTTTTTGAATAATGTCAATCAATATTTAGATAGCTGTTGAAATTATTGCAAAAAAAAAATTTCTTTCGGTATCATTAAAATACTCTGTTAACCATATTGACTTTCCATTACCCACCACAACTGTCGGCGATAGAATGCTGAAAGATCGACAATTTACTAAATCATTGGGTTCGATTCAGTGTATAAAGACAAACATACTTATGTTCATATAATTGTAAGATTATATGTACATAATGCTGTACGTTGTAACACTTTTTAAAGGACTTTGCTTGAGCAGCAAAGCAGAGGTTTTTATCTACAAATTTGTGCATTGTCGCTCTTAGTCTTTTTAGTTCAATTTCAATGAACCCTTCATCATTGTGTTAAGAGCTCTCAAACGTATCGTTTAAATGCTTACACTTTCTATTTTTGTATTAGGCATAGTTTGCTTTTTTAAATTTTATTACAAGTATAAAGTACACATAAATGGATACACCAATACTAAACACAACAACGGCTATGTATGGCATCCCTGCAAGGAAATACTTGCAAGTTTAACTTTTTTTAAAGTATATATCATAATATTATATTATATTATATTATATTATGATATACATATAATCTCATCAATTACATAACGTAGTTCAGGTTATTACTTTATATAGAAAATATAATAAAACCGTTATTTGTGTTTGCCTGCATCATAGATTCGTTTCTATAAAATATGTTTCCATCTAGTTCAACACATGATATGCAGTAGCCATTAAAAGGGGTTAACAGTAAATTAATAAATTGTTAAAACACTACCGTTCCCTTCCATTCATTATCTTCATTGCCAAATATCCAAAACGGCTGGAAATTGTTTGTGTTTTTATTCTTTTTTCTATTCCGGTTGGTAATAAAATGTACATTGGTAATATCACAGCGAGAGGACGCCATACGTTTAAGTGAAATCATTTTTAAAGTGATTTTTTTCTATTGTATTTTTTTACACGAAATTGTGTTTTGTTCTTATTTATACTTTAAAAAATGTTTTTTTTTTATTTGTAAATTGTAAGTAAAAAATATTCGCAAAAAATTTGAAAATGTCGAAACGGTTGAAAATTTTAAAAGAAACAAAGAAACTATATATTTGTCAAAAAACATTTTAAATGCTGTAATGTAATTGTGTTTACACTTTTTTCGACAAACCCACAGCTGCACTTGGTCACCTTATTGAATTTTCTATGCATTGGTGAATTGATTTTCAACATTTTTATACAGAAATATATTTGTATGTTTGTACTTTAATCAAATTTGATTGTTAAAAACAACACTTTTTTTTTAAGAAAAATAACTTTTTTATTCTAGTATATCAGTTACTTTTCATTGATTTCTACGCACCGGTATTAAATTAACTTTCAATAAACGCCCTGAAAAGTTTGAGCAGTCAGGACGGCGAAACGCTTTTAAATGCAATAGAAATATTTCTTTCTACATAAATGGTCTGATTTGCTTAAAAATTGTTTGATTGTCGTGAGCTTTCTCTATTTAATTTTTAATTACAAATTATTTAACATACATTTTTGCAAAAAACGACAAATTATTATACTAAAACTACACACATATGTTTGCCGAGAAAAATTTTCAGCTCTAATATTCACCGCAATAGTGTGGTAAGTAAAGCAAACAGCTGTTAGCAATTCGAATTTTTACAGAATGCCAGATGTTCGAAAGTTATTTGAGTTATTTTATTTCAACTTGATTGTAAAGTAATGAAACGAAGTTGACGGTATATATATATGTATACGTTATATAGCGCTTATGCTTATTTATACATAACGACACTTCGATGAAAGTTTACTGTTAACATTTATGGATATTTTCGTGGTAAATTTGGGTTTGTATATTTTTAAGGCTTCAACTGTCAATTTTTCACATCATATATATGATATTATTAAACTTGCTTAGTTAGAGTGCGTGCGTTGTTATTGTTGTTACAGCATAAAATATGCCTATGCTAGTTTTAAGGCATCCTGCACAAGGGGGCGAGGGATATACATATAAACTTATAGCTATGGTTGTGGCAGATAGTCTTGGGATTGTATCATATTAACATTGCCTTTTATGACAAGCGTTTTCTTAAAATCGATCAGATGGTGCAAAAATGTTGTGATTTTAATTTATTTCATTATTGGGACCAAAAAAATGTAATTTTAAGTTCTAATGATCTTACTCTTTCTATGATTTATACCTACAAACATACATACATGAAGTTATACAAAATTTTATCGGGGAACATAAGGATGTACTTATATATACAAATAAATAGTATAAATATACTAGTAGCCATGTAAGTAAGCTTCCAAGGTCAGCATATTTAAGCCGCACTTATAACTAATCTGAAATGCATATATGTACGTGATCACATACCCTTTGCATCTTGACAGAATATTAATTTTTTGCTGTTTCTCGTTTCCTTATTCTATACACGCTGCCTGGATTTTTCGCACAACAGTTGGTTGCCCGCTTGCTTATTCCTCTTATGTTTGTATGTGTTTTTATTTACTGGAGAACACTTTGTATAGAAGCGTTAAAATAATTTCTTTATTTATTAACACTTCCCAAATTCAGTCGATCGCGTTTCGAACACTGGCCCGCTCTTTACGTTTTACTAAAATAGTATTTAATGAAGGCGAATGATTTACACGACTCTTACTTTCATTACACAAAACTCGTTCTATCACACAAAGCTATGTGTTTATTTAAAAAATTATTTATATAAAATTAGAAAAAAAAAACATGCGCTGGTACATAAATACTAAGGCACAAACCACTCACGAGTAACTAATGAAAGCGGCGCGGCAACCGAGAATCAACTGAAAACCACCGACAAACGACAACCAGAGCGTCGGCATTAGGGTCGCCAGTGGCCAACATGTTGAGTAAATACTAATAGATACCTACATATGTGTGCACATATTTTTAAACACGAAATAATATATACACAATACACACACATATATATAATCATTGATATAGCTATGTGAAAATGAGCAATAAAAACAAAAGACAAGAAGCTTCAAATGCCAATACAACAACTAAACCACCAGCAACTATACGCGCACCAACAATACTAAACACTTCAGTGGAATTAATGCCAATAACAAGAACAATACATATCTCATAATGTGTGTGTATGTGCACACACAGAAACAGCATTGCCTAGCAGAGAAATTGGCAGGTCCATTTTCAACCAGGTACAAATTGATTCAGGTAAACAAAAGATGGGTAGGGTGTGCCACTTGAAAACTGCAATTATTCCATTGTGTTATCAGGGATTTCAATTTAGAAGAAATAGTTCACAAAAAAAAGAATTTGTTCGTGAAAACATAATTTTTGATATTTAATTTATACATATCGTTTGGGAGTAAATCAAATTTGACCCGGACCAACAAAAAAACTACATTTTTATTAATTTTAATACAAATATTTCTTAACGCCTTCAAAGTAGACTACTTTTACGTCAAAACAACCATGTCAGTGCTTAATCTAATTAGCCCACACTTGTTATAGAGGCCCGGGATGACTTTCAGCGCCTTCAGTGAAATTTGTTTGTTGCGGTTTCGGCTCAA